GAGGCCTGGGCTCTAGCCGGGTCTCTGCGGCTCACGGGCTGTGTGCCCTTAGGGAAGTTTCCTCCCCTCTCTGGGCCGGTTTCCCCTCTGCGGACAGAACCTAGGAGCTCCCAGAAATCGACTCTCTGCCTATCACGTCCCTGCGCCAGCTGTCCCTCAGCCCCAGGGAGCAGGCTGGGCCAGATTGGAAAGTCTCAGACCCTCTACAGATATGGCAGAGAAATGTTTAAGGGATTTGCGCGCTCAGGCTGCGGGGTAAATGGTCCGCGGGCTGATTTATGGCGCGTTACTGCGCGACGCGATTCCCCAAGACAGCGAGAATATTTTACACCGCGCTAATATAAACAGGCGGCCGGCCGGGTCCTTTTCATGGAGTTCCTGTAATTACCCGGGCCCTGACAGGTCCTTGATTTACTGCCCTATTTAGATAAGGGGTCCGGTGCGGGAATTGCCCGTGGCGTCAAGGTCACGGGACGTGGCGGGAGAAGGTTTTGCGGTGGGCGCCGAGGGGGGCTCTCAGCCCTGCCAGTCCCGGGTGGGGAGAGGGGAGGAGAGGGGCGAAGGCTGGAGAGAGTACCGTCCTCGGAGGCTGGAGGGACTTTCAAATCACAGGGAACAGCATATCCACTGTCCAGATGGGGGAACTAAGTCCTGGAGGTGGCAGGAGCCCATCACCCCGTCCAAAGTCATTTAGCGAGAGAAATGGGGGTGGAGGTTGGGATCTGGAACTGGAATTTGGGTCTCTGGCAACATAATCCCCGCACCTAGCGATGCTCGATGCTCGGTCTCCCCCACGTCCAGCCTAGGACGGCTGGGTTCTGTAGGGTCAGCGGGAAAGGGAAGAATCCCAAGGCAGTCAGAAACAGGGCGTCAGGTCAGAACGGAGCCCTGCAGACAGAATCCCGCATCCTGGTCTCTTCTCCCTGTCCAGGGCTTTACCGTCAGTGTGAACGGGTATGGCTCCATTTCTTCCCCTGTAGAAATTAATATTCCTAAAAGCAGAGCCACCATTTACCCAGGTTTACTGTTACTGTGCTAAGAGCCTCTCCTATATTTTTTTGCTTAATCTCACACCAGCCGTCTACGATGGGTATTACTGTCCCCCAATTTACAGAACAGAAAACTGAGGCTCTGAAGGTTCATACAGGGAGGAATGCCAGTGCCCAGTTTCAAACTTGGTGGGACCAATTCCACAGGAAGGCTCTTATAAGCACTCCTTTGATACAATTTTTGTAACCTTTATGTACTTAAGCCCTCTACTCAGTAAAACGGGCAAGAGTTCCTGTCCCCACTAGCACAATTGGGAGAAGAACTGAGAAGTCTGCATTTGAAAATGCTAAGAACGCCAAACTCCTGACAGCACTCTCTAGGTGAGCAAGGCTGCCTGGCGGGCGGTTGGGGGTGGGCAGTGTGGGACTGGCTGGTGGGACCGTGGCAGTCCTGGTCTTTGTTCTGTAGAGGTGGGCTGGAGGAGAGTGGAGTCCTCCCATGGGGACCCAGGAGCCAGGCCCTAAGTCCTGAGAATGGCCAGGGAGGGGTCCATGTAACAGTGGGGAGCTGGGAATTACAAAACTCTGGATTCTATTCCCTTCTTCTGGAAGTGGGGAAACTGAGGCTCAGAGCTGGAAAGGAACAAAGTGAGGTGCTAGCTAGGCAGAGCCAGAACTTGAAGTCACATCTCTTGCCTGTTAGCCTAAAGTATTCCTGCCAAACTCTTAGGTCCCAGACCTTTATCTGTAACACAGCCTGAGGCTGAAGGAGAAAATACCCTCACCAGGTTCCCATTGCTCTGGGAGTTCTGCCACGCTTAGCATGCACCTGAGCCAGCTGGAGTTCAAAGCGCTTTGGAGTCTCCCAGGAAGCTGTAGTCTGGAGCCTAGTCTCCCCAGCATTCACCCTGCTAGGGGCTGCCCAGCCCCGAGCCCCATCAGGTCCCTTAGGGCCAAGTCCCCAATTGGGGCAAAGCTCAACAAACGACTTTGAATTCTTCTCGGGTTAGAGAACTGTGTTCTGTCTGCCTTATTGGCGGCTGTGGCATTCTGCTTATTAACCCGTGCCATGGGGAGCTGCCAGGTGGGTCTCAGAGCCCTCAAAGGGTTTCACTTGACCGGGACTTGTCACCCAGTACTGATAATGCATCCCTCACCACACTAACCTGTGCGATGATGGGTAAGCAACTGGAACTCACGTGGGTGGGTGCACAAGCAATGCGTTTGTATGTGGGTAGTTGTGCGTACCTCTGTGGGTACTTGTCATTGAGGGTGCCTTGACGACATGCACGCTATTGTACAACTTCATTGCCAGGGCTTGTGAAGGTGACTATATAGATAGGTAAGGCTGAGAAATATATGTCAAATTGAGTGTTTAAAATTGTGTGCCTCTGTGCAACGTGGGAACGTGCGAGAACGTCTATTTGTGAGCGCCCAAGCACACACAGCAGAAATTGTGGCTGTGTCCTTGTGTGCCGAAGGCTTAGTTGGGACGCTGAGAACACATGGTTTGTGTGACGGGGTCTTTTGGAAGTCTTGCTGTGAATCCAGTTGTGGGGAATGGTAAGAAAATACAAACTGGTTGTACCTGTGCGTAATTGTGACAGTAATGTGTGTAAAACCCTGCATCTGTGTGGTAATTGGAATTTATGAGTTTCTACTCTGTGACTGAGGTCTTTGTGCATGCCTGAGTGTAGGGCTGGGAGTGGCTCCTAGCGGTAAGACATCTGGAGCGTGATGTGTGTGTACTCTGTGGGTGACATAGAGATAGTGTGAAATCCGAGGAATGCATGCAGACTGAGATGCTGTGTGCACCCTCGCTGTGAACGGTTGCTGTTAGAATATACCTGTGGATACTTTGGGGCATCTGTATGAACACATGGGCTTTTGCGTATGCCGGCGACGTTGGGTGGGCCCGTGTGCATGTGCGCGTCTGTGTGTGATCGGAGGGCCTAGTGTGCCACTATGAGAGGCTGAGGGTGAAGATCGTTCTCGGGCTTGGACAAAGGCTGGGCGTGTGCTGAGGATTGAGGTCCTTCTCCACAGAGTAATTACTCTCTCTCTACGCGCACGCCCTCACTCCAGAGCGCCGCCAGGTCGGGCAGGCGCGGGACCCCGCGGAGCCGCGGCCGAGTCGGGCGCCCGGCGCTCCTCCCCGCGAGCCGCGGCTCCGCGCCCTGCCCAGCCCAGCGCTGCTGGCGCCAGGCGCCGGGAGAGCGGCGCGCTCCCAGCACGCCTCGGGCAGGAAACCCGGACCTCCCTCCGCATCCCCCACCCCCCGCGGACCTCCAGGGCCACAGCCCGGCCCAACTCCCACAGGTGGAACCAGCCCGCTCAGGACTGAGCGTTTATCACCCCTCTGTCCCGCGCGCTCCCCCCTCTTCATTCACTTCTTAGTCCAGGACTGCAATCCCGCTTATCCGCTCGCCCTCGCACCTGGAGGAAAACCGCCCAGGCTCTCTGGGCCTCACTTTCCCTGTCTGTACTCGGAGAGAGTTGGCCCTTCTCCCTCTGCCTTTGGACCAGTAACTGCCGGGCACATAGCAGGCGTCAATAAGTGACTATTGAATGGTTGGATAATGATTCGCCTTCTTAAAAGAGCGCCCATGTAGATAATCTCCGCTCACCCTCACCTGGACAGTGCTTTAGAGAGAAACACACCCTCTGTCTACCCCACCTAGGGAAGGACCGGACGGGCTGGGAGAGGCCGGGGAGGATGGAGGGACCCAGGCATGTGCCCCCAGCTGGCAAGCTACCGCAACGGGAGGTAAGACCGAGAGTCCCCAGCTTCAAGCGTCGCCACCCGGCATTCCCAAAGTTCCAACGCAAGCCTGGGGAAAGCCCCTGGGGAGAGAATCCGGTCTCCGGCGCCGGGCCCCAGCCCAGGGCCCTGCCCAGGGCTGCGCAGCGGGGGCCGTGCCTCTGCGCGGGTAGGTGAGACACGCCTGGAGTCGCGTTTCGCTTCTCCGTTGGCGTGACCCTCGCGGATGCCGAGCAAGTCGTGGTCCCCTCTGCGTGTGTTTACCACCGTGCGCCGGTTTTTCGCGGTGTGAGCTTCAACTCCAGTGCCTTTAGGGAATCAAAGATTCTCAAGGGCTGATGATCTGGGTGGAGTGGCCCAACCTAGCTGCGCTCATGGCCCTCAGTGAGAGTCCCGCAGGCCAGATGCCCCCAGGGCCAAGGCTGGACGCTGCGCTGCCTCCGCGTCAGCCTGGCGGGCCTTTGGACGGGATCTGGCGCCCGGGAGGCGAGAGAGGACTCAGGCCCTAAGCCCGGAACAAACCGGTAAATGACCATGGGCTTGGAGTCCGCCTCCCCTTCCCTCTCCATCCCCACGCGGCCTCAGAAAGGCTGCTGTGCTGGTCAGTCCCCCAGTACCTGTCTGCCCGCCACTTGGCCAGAATTGGCGGGCGGGTAACGACCCCGAGCACTAGCAGCTCCCAGTCTTGCCAGAAAGGGCCTCAGACCAAGGGGCGGGGTGGGTCAGTGGGGAGGTGTCAGGAGTAGCGTTAGGGGCCTATCCTGCCTCCAGCAGCGCCCTCTCGTCTTCTGGCTCCGACGCCTAGCGGAGCAGATGGAATTCGGGATTGGGAACTGCTGGAATTCCTGTTTTGAATTCTGTGGAGTCTATACACAAGAACCTTTCTTTCTCTGGGCCTCAGTTTCCCTATCTGTAAAATCAAGGGCGTGGTCTAGGCGAAGGCCTTCTTTTCGTTCCATGATTCTAGATTTCTTTCCTTGGATCCGCCGGGAGGGGGTGGCAGCAATAGTCCACCGCGTTGGCTGTCCTGTGCCTCAATTACGTAGCCCCTGCCCCCGCCCAAGCCGGGAATTAGGGGGGAGGGGCAGAGGCGGAGCCGGAGCCGGAGCCGGTTCCCTGTCCCCGCCGGCGGCCTAGAGTCGAGTGGCGCTGGCTGAGTGTAAAACCTGGGACGGCCACCCCCTTTCCTCCTCCCCATGCCCCTGCCATTGGCTCCAGGGAGAGGTTGACATCAAAGCCACGGCCTTATATAAGCCAGATCCCGAAGGGGAGTCTGCAGAAGGGTTAAACGGGTCTTGGGCATCGGCGTCCTCGCCCGCGGCGGAAACTAGGAAGAAGGCGGTGGGGCTGCTGTTTCATCTTGCCTTGCCCGGACTCCTCAAAGCCGGCGCTAGCAGTGCGCGGCCCCAGAGCAGGTGGCCCCCGGCAGTCTCTGGGGCGCATGGAGCGGCATTAATAGGGCTGTTGGCACAGGCCAGGAGCCGCTCCAACATGAACCTCGTGGGCAGCTACGCACACCATCACCACCATCACCACCCGCATCCCGCGCACCCCATGCTTCACGAGCCCTTCCTTTTCAGCCCGGCCTCGCGCTGTCACCAGGAGCGACCCTACTTCCAGAGCTGGCTGCTGAGCCCAGCTGACGCTGCCCCGGACTTCCCTGCCGGCGGGCCACCGCCCACAGCCGCCGCCGCGGCCGCCGCCGCCGCCTACGGTCCGGACGCCAGGCCTGGCCAGAGCCCGGGGCGGCTGGAGGCGCTCAGCGGCCGCCTGGGCCGGCGGAAAGGCTCGGGACCCAAGAAAGAGCGGAGACGCACAGAGAGCATCAACAGCGCGTTCGCCGAGCTGCGTGAGTGCATCCCCAACGTGCCGGCCGACACCAAACTCTCCAAGATCAAAACTCTGCGCCTGGCCACTAGCTACATAGCCTACCTGATGGACGTGCTGGCCAAGGATGCACAGGCCGGCGACCCCGAGGCCTTCAAGGCCGAACTCAAGAAGGCGGATGGCGGCCGCGAGAGCAAGCGGAAAAGGGAGCTGGTGAGTCCCGGGGCTTGCACGCTCCGCCGAGGTGCAGGGCGGTGAGCACTCGCAGGCGGTGCAAGCAGTGGAAGGAGGCTGCGTTGCCGGGTATGCAATTTTGGAAGGCTGAGATGAGCATTTTGGAAGTTCTGAGATGGTCACAGTGTGTGACTGTGTGCATGGAGGGAGGCAGATTCCTAACCGAGTTCATTCGTAACGTGGGATAATGTTTGTAAAACTGCGTGAACACACAATCTCAGCTCTTTGGGTGCAGTCTTAGGGCATCCTTTAAGAATCTGTTGGAAGCCTCTGATCCCAAGAAAATGCACACACCGCAGATTTTGCTTCCAATTTGCAGGAGTTCTGATCCAGCCCAGGGCTGTCTTGGAAGCCAGGTTAAGAATAAATATGGGAATTTGTTAGTCTAATTTGTTTGAGAGTGAATTTATGCACATGAGCTCAGTTATTGTTTTCAAAGGGCCTTTGCTAGAGAGGCTAGTCTACTTCTATCATTGTATAGAGAGGGAAACTGAGGCCCAGAGTCCGAGGGGACATGAAGGGCACCTACCGGAGGAGTCAGAGGTGGAGCTGGGGTAAAAGAGCTCGGGTCTCCTACTCTAAGTCCAGAGTGCGTTCCACCGCCCCACTCCTTGTAGGCTGGTTCTGAGGACGACCTCGATGTCTTTTCGTGAAAAGAAGCAAGAGCCATCCCTTTTGGCTTTGGAGATAGAAATTCAGTCTTGGCCTTTTTTGATCCTCTCCAGTGAGGGCGACATTTTCTGGCGCTGGGTTTCTCTGCCCAGGGCTTGGGGACCTCGGAGCGCGGCGATTTCCAGGCTGGCGAACTAGTTTCTCTAGGTTGATGCGCTCAGGCCCGCAGCGCTGTGGAGCCACTGAAAAGCCCTGCCGGTTTTTTCCTGACCCGCGGGGCCTCTGGCGAAGTAGGGAAATCTCACCCAGGGACACGAGGAAAGACAGATAGGCATCGAGGCTCTAACCCGCCGCCTTGGGCTGGGGAGATGCAGGCCCGGGCGGCACCAGGATGGAAGCAGTTACTGGGCGGATCCCGATCCCCTCCACACGTCGCCGCCTTCTTCGAGTAGCACAGCTTGGTCGCTGCTAGGAGAGCTGGCAGGGAGGACGCTAGGCCAGGGAGCTCCCCTCTCTTTTGCTTAACCGTCCGAGCCCCCAGCGCCAGGTCGAAAGGACCCAACCCTGTATCTGAACCCCTATGCTAAACCAGGTTGGAAAGCTAATAGGTTGTGTATGAGGGCTTTGGGGGGTGGTATCAGGTCCTCGAGGGGGAAAACTGTTAGATTCCCAACTCTTCCATCCCCCCCTCCTCCCCATGGTGTCCCTTTGGTGCCATAAAGCAAAACCAGCGCTCATGGGTTTCACCAGAAAATTCTCATTACTAAGCCTCTCAAAGCTACCCAACCCATCCCGGGTCCCAGGAACTTGGCGCATAAAGGCAAATTTATGAGCCTGTTTGCCTATTTCGCAAACAGAAATCTGTCACTTATTTAAAGACTCCCAGTTACTGCTCCCGACACCTTTTCCCCTTTCCCACTTCACGCCGGGCGATTGTAGCAGAAATATTAAAACCTGTCTCTCTCGCCTCTTTTCTTGTGTGTGTCCTTTGGCAGCAGCAGCACGAAGGCTTTCCTCCTGCCCTGGGCCCAGGCGAGAAGAGGATTAAGGGACGCACCGGCTGGCCGCAGCAAGTCTGGGCGCTGGAGTTAAACCAGTGAGCCGAGGCCGCGCCGAGGACCTGGCCGTGCACGGCCGGCCAACCCCGGGACCCGGAGAGGAGAGGAAGGGGCGAAAGCAAGCCAGGCTCTGGGTTTCCCGGGCTTGCGCGAGCGCATCCCGCCGCCGCCGAGCCTCTGCTGAGCGCTGGCAGGTCGTCGGTTGCAACCACACATTTGGATCGCACGTGCAATGTCATTTGAAATAGTTTTTCTAATACATTAAGAGAAAGAAAGATATATATATATATATCCACCTCTCTTAACCGAGGGCGGCTCTTGGCGACACGATGCAAGAGGGAGGGACTAATGAACCCAAGCGCGCAAAGACACACCCTTCCAACCCTTCTGGGGCGAATTTCAACCCCGCAACGCCTTCCCCCTTCCGCTGTCTGGCTCTCTTTCTCTCTTGTCCCTCCCGTCGCTTCGTGTCAAAGCCTCCGACACCCCCGTTCTCTAATAAAATGCAATAAGGAATCAATAGTGTTCTGCCCGGGAAAGAGAACCTAAAGCAGGAAGATGAAGGGCTGCTCTTTGTTGTTGTTCTCCTTCAAATAGTGCTGTTTTTTTTTTCCTTTTGTTGTTGCACTTCCTATTTAGTTTCAAGGGAAACACTTTTTCTCTCTTTCTCTTCCTTTTTCTTCTTCTCTCCTCTTCCTTCCTTCTTTCCTTCCTTAAAAACTTAATAAAAGCTTTTCCCTATGTTGGAAAGTTTTTATGTATTTAAACTACCTACCATGCCTGCTGTGCTCAGGTGTTTGTTTATCCTCCCATCCCCATCCCTTTTCTACCTCAAATCTATATGACCACTCACAGCCCTGTCCCTGTGCCAAAGCAGTATCTGTGCTCTTGACTAATAAAAAGTTTTCTGAAATCATCTGAAGCTTGTGTGATATCTCAGCTCAGATCCCCCACCCAGTCCATATGCCTATTAGGTGGAAAACCTCCTGTTCCTGCTTCTCCTCTCTTGATAAAAACTAAACTTCATAATCAAGCCAAGGGAAGGGGACAGATAAAGGATTTCTTTCTAGAGCAAAGAGCAGCAAGCGTGCACATTGGTGTCAGCAGACACTGATTTCATGGGGTGACTGGGAGAGAAGGGAGCCTGCCACACGGATGAATGGCATCCCCAGGGCAGGGTAGCTCAGAAGAGGGGGGATTTGCTTGGGAATATGCTCATGTGTGTGAAATTCTGGACTTACAGGCATACAGGTGACAATGCAGCAACTCGTATGGAGCCCCAGGACTGTGCAGGGGCCAAGGGGGGGTCTGCTTGGCACAGCTCTCAGCAGGCAATAAGGACTCCACAAGTTGCTGTAGCAAGTATTATTCATTTTATACGTGAGAAAAATAGGCTTGTGCATGCTTAATGGTTAAAGTGAGGCACTTAGGTTTCTCTCCTGCGAAAAAGCACTCAACAAACGTTTGTGAGAGCATATGGATTTGTGCAAAAGGATGGCGTGTGTATGTGCTAATTTGAGTACTTGTGCAAGACAGTCTTTGTGCCCTCACGGGTGCACCTATGGCAGAACGTGAGTGTGAATAAATAAAATTTGTCAAGGGGCGCAGGCCCTGTTGGGCTAAACTGGAACAGGCAAACGAAGGCGTCTGTGTGTGCATGAATAATAATAATGTACAACTAGTTTTGTTCGCGTGTAGCTGTGTGCTGGGCACAGTGCTAAGCGCTGCTAAGTCTCCTAACAGCTCCACGATGGCCCGAGGGACGCACGCTCCGCAGTGCTGGCGCGGTCCCCAGCGCTCACTGCGCAGGCGGCCGGAAGACGCGCGGGTCCCTTGGCGCTTTCGGGCTCCACAGCTGGAGCCGGAGCTCTCGGCTTGGAGATGAGAAAGGAGACCCCTGGCAGCTCCCGGGCCAGGGCCTCGTGGGGCGCCAGGCGTGCCCCAGGCGCCTCGTCCCAGCTTCAGGGTGAATATGGGACCCCATTAGTCTTGGCTGTAAACACCGTGGCAGGGGCCGAGGGGCCACGCGGGCCTTTCCGGACGCGAAGGAGTTAATAAAAGGTGTTTTATGGGCGCGAGGAAACGGTGGGGGAGGTGTGAGCTTCTCTTTACTCTCGACCCCCCTACTTTTTTCTTTTTTCCCTCTCGCCACCCGCCGCCAGATCAAACAGAGCCGCGATTTAACTAGGGCAACACCTCGCGGTAATGAGCCGGCCCGACGCACCCGTTCCCGGCCTCAGTACCCGGCCCGAGCCCCGGCCCCTCCGGGAGGAGCAGAAAGAAAAGAAAAGCCAGAGTTTCTTTCTTTCTTTCTTTCTTCTTCTTCTGTTTTCCCCTCCCTTTCCAAGAGTTGGGAATCCCTTTAGAAATTCTGGCACGCAAAGAGAAACGGACTCAGGGAGCAAGCCGATAGCGTTCCCACAGCACGGACGGGAGCCTTATCTAGACTCGAACCCAGAACTCCAGCTTAGCTCACAGACAAGCCTCTGGCTATACACAGGCCCCAGCTCCCGCGACTATTTTTAGCACCGTGAAGTATCCTAGGCACGGGAGGAATGCGCACCCGGGTCCTGCCTTCCTATAGCCAGAGAAAGGAGAAGGAAGGGGTACCGCGGGGCGCCAACCGCGGTGGCCAGAGCCAGGTCTGGGTATAACCTCTTCGGAAAACGCCGTCAGGCCGGCCCCAAACCCTCTGCGGAGCCCTAAATTCAGTCCCGGTAATGTCCGGTCCGAATCCCAGACCCGAACCTGGGAGCTGAGCCAGGGATCGGTGCCCACGGCGGGGTCACCGGGTGTCACTGCGCTCTCCCCAAGCCTTGTTCCAGCGGCGCGAACGCCCAAGCCCCAGAGAACACCCAAGCCCAGCTCTCACTGCACAGCTGGAAGAGAAACGCCGACCCCGGACCTGGAGGGAGGGACAGGGTTGCTCCAGGCTCCACAACCCAGTCAGCGCCAGTCTCCAGACTCGGGGTCCAGCTCTCCTCGTTGCCACCTGGCTCCCGGGGCTCCCGTCCCTCTCTAGCCCTCCCTCCGTCCAAAATCTCTTTAGAGCCTGATGTTTACTTTCCTATTCTCTACCCAGGACTCCACGCGGCTTGGCAAGACACCTCAAACCCGCTGTGGCAGAAAGTGTTATTATTTATTTATTTTTTGACTTAAATACATCATCTTTTTTTTTTTTTTTAATAGAGGGGGGGAAAATGGAATGGTCACAAACTTAAAAGTAAATTCCAGGAGTTTATCATTAGGAAATACTCACTGATGTTACAAAAGTTTTAACAACAGGACTGTTCTAACTAAAGAATGAAAAAGCAGGAAAGAACTCTGATGTGCTATAATCACAGAACTCCCTAAATAAATCCATCAGTACTGTGGGTTACTCCTCAGCCATCAGACAAAAAAAAAATGTAGTAATTGACATGGAAATTGTTCAGGATATAGTAAGAAAACCCCCTCTTCACTGTCCATCATAACTCCCTTTACGTAAAAATAAATAAGTAAATAGCATTCATGTAGAAAAAGTGGAAGAATATACACCAAAACATTTACACTTCTTCCTCTGACTTGTGGGAATAAGGGTAATTTTTACTTTTCCTCTTGCTTAGCTGTATTTTTCTAAATTTCAGAAATAATAAGTATTACTTTTGCAATAAAAATTAAGCTGCAGTTTCCTTCTAATTTCTTCTGTTGCCAGTGTACTTTCAATACACCATTAAACATGTATTTATTGAGTGCCTACCATGTGCTAGGCACTATGAGTATAAAGACAATGAATTAGAAAAGATCCTAATAAGGATGATCAGTTCATATACAATAGTCAATATGTGTCCTGAAGAGTTTATTATTCCTTCCACACAGCAAACACAATCTTTTTCTTGCATCTGAAAGACGTATTGGTGAATGAAATAATAACAGCTAACATTTATAAAGCAAACCGTGTAAACCCTTAGCATGCATTATTTCATATAAGCCTCACAGGGTTCTGTGAGGTTAACATTGAGGCAGCAGAGGCTCAGAGAGGTGAAGGACTTTGAAGGACTGTTCAAGGTCACATAGGTGATAAAAGGCAGGTTGGATTGGGATTAAAGGGCAGGTCTGACTGCCTCCAGAGATCTGGTTTTTCCCTGTATCTCAGTGCACCACCAAGAGGTGTGTGTGTGTGTGTGTGTGTGTGTGTGTGTGTGTGTGTGTACACATACATGTGCAGCCAAACACAGCTTCTCTCAGACTGATCTTCCTTGGTCCACAAAGTAAGGTAGAGAAAAAAAGAAGGAAGGAGTTATGTGAAGGGGCCTGGGATTCTAACTCCAGCCCTCTCCTGAACCCTTCTCCCCTGTCAGAGCTCTGAGTAGATCCCTTCTATAAAATGAGGACGAGGGGGTGGGCCCCAAGATCTCTAGTTTTTTCCTGCCTGTAACATTCTGCTTCCAGCAATATACCTCCTCCGGGTGAAGAACTGAGCGTGTGATTCCTTGCAGCAATCTCTGGTGTTTGCATGGCATATTACCCTGTAGAAGTACTTTTACTTCTACAAGCACATCTTTCTCCCCATAATCTAGAAGGCAGCCAGGGCAGCAGTGATGTTCCCCATGGACAGATGGGGAAAGGAAGACCCAGAAAGTTGATGTGACCAGATCAGGGTCACATAGCCAGTCAAAAATTCAGCTGGAACTAGAAGGCAGGTCTGCAGGCTTCAGGCCCAGGGCTCTGCTGGAAAAAGCGCTGGATACCTTCTCCCTATGCAACCCGCAGTTAAACTTACAGTCTTGCTAAATCTTCGTAAAAGAAACGAAACTAAGAAATCAGCCAGTCTCATTTTTAAATGAAAAGTGACTGGGAAGAAAAAAATATGCACATTCTGAAGTGTCTAAAACCAGCCTCCTGATTTAGACTCAATTTGTTTGAAAAAAAACTTTTTTCAGCTGAGAGTTTTTACAGCTGAGCTCTCCCAAACCCATAAAAAACAAGGTTTATATGGGAAATAGTGAGACTCTTAACTATAATACACAGCGTCTAATGTAAGCAGAGATAGACACTATATAAAGCTCCTACAAATGTTATTAAAACAAACAGAAATGCACATTTATCCCCACAGAATGGACAACGGAAGGCATCGGACTTTAGAGGAGTCCTGGAAGTCTTATGTTCACTGAAATGTTCAAAGCACCCCACAACATGGAGATAGCAAAGATCTTTACTGACTGTCTAAACATTTCCCTCATTTTACAGAAGGGGAAACTGAGGCTCACAGAGACGAAGGACTTGCTCAAGGTCACATGGGGAGTTGTACTCTTCTTTCCCCTTTGTTCATTCAACACCTTCTCCTCCTAGAGCAGAGTACACAGTGCAGTGGCCAAGAGCCCCTGCACAAGTTGCTGAACACTTCTGAACCTCAGTTTCCTTATCTACAAAAGGAGAGAGATCATTGCCCCAACTTCCTGGGGTTTGCCAGGGTGGAGAGAGATAAGGCACACAAAGCACTTAGCATGTTGTCTGCGGTAAAGCTATTTTTATTATTTTATTTAATCTTCACAACAGCCCTGTGAGGCATTGAGGACTTACATTGGTCTGTTTGCTTGTTTTGACTTACGTTGGCCTGTTTGCTTGTTTTGGAAAAGCAGGTTATATTTACAACAGGCACAGAAAATTTCAGTAACTTTTGCAAGGGCACATGGCCAGTGAGTACACTGCAGGTTCAAAGCTCTTCTATTCCACATCGTTAAGGTAACCAAAGGAGTAGGCAGGCTTGCAGCCCTTGAGTTTCTGAAACTGTTCAAGTCAGCACTGCACAGTATAATGCAAGCCCCAAATGGGAGCCATGGACACATTTCAAAGTTTTCAAATAGCCATAAAAATGTAAAGAAAAACAGGTGAAACTATTTTTAATAAATTTTATTTAACTCAATATATCACAAC